GCGAGCCCGGCGCCCCGCGGGCGGCGTTCCCCGCGCTCCCGCCCCGTCTGCACGCCGACGGTAGGGTTTGTGACTCCAGTGCGCAGGTGGGAAAGGGAGGTACGCGGGTGTCGCCCCGATGGCGCGGCCGGAAGGGGAGCCAGACAAGCCCTTCCCTCGCCCGGCGTCGCCGGAATCAGGCTGAGTCCGCCCGTGCCGGACCCCGACGTGGAGTTTTCGATCCGCGCGTTTGTCCAAACTCCCAAACATCCATGTTTAGAAAGGGCCAGCCGCGTTTTGATCCCCTTAGGATTCTTTCCCTGAGCCTCAAATTTTGAGATCAGCAGAACTCCCCAAGAATGCAGGCTGCGGGACAGCAGGAGCCGGGTTCACTTAGGATGGCACCTGACAGGTGACAAGCAATTCAGCACAAAGGACGAATGGTTGAAAGGCAACAGTGTAACCCGAGGCTTATTGCAGACACTGCGTTTAAACCACAATTATCTTACTCTAACAAAAACTTGAAAGAAACGACTGTTTTTTCTTATATTTTACTTTTTTTTATTTAATAACAGTTTATTTTTACATCATTTTGTACATTTTTTTCCCATCTCAATTGTAATCCCCGCGGGCTTCCCATCACCAAGTCACACGTGCGCCATCACCATAATCCCGTGCACTTCCCTCCCCCACCCCTTCACACACACACACAAACGTTTTTGATCCCATTCCCCACGCCACCCCCACAAAATGTCTCTGGTATATGGCTGTTCATTATTCTTAATATTTTCGCACCTGGTCCATTCGCCTGGTCCATTATACTCCTGCTATGAGTGAAACCATCCGCTATTTTTCTTTCTCTTTCTGGCTCATCTCACTAAGCATGGTCTTTTCCAGCTCCATCCAAGTTGCTGCGAAAGACATGTGAAACAACTGTTATTTTAAGAAGACTAAAGTAGAACATTTACCGTTGAAGAGGAATTAGTTATAAAAGACTGCAATTTTAAAAGGAACCCCTTTCAAAAACATTTCCTGGTGCTTGCTTACCTATGTTACAACAAGATGAAATAAAAATCATTAGCTATAATATTTTAGAGATAATTGATTAGTACGTTGATGTAGCCTGTTGAGTCAGGTCATTGGAATTATGTGTGGTTGGGGGGAGGTGAATATTTGATTTTTTAGTTTAACATTATCAGTGACTTTCAGTTTACAAAGATAGTATCATGCTTGTTGAAGCAAATGAAAAATAAAAGGCAGGGGAAGTAAAGGCAGTGTGCACTTTCTCCTCCCCACTCTTGTCCCCTGCTGTCACCAGCTGTGACGCCTCAAGCTGGTGTGTGTGTGCACTAGTGAGGTCGCACTGTGCAGATTCACCTGCAGCGGGCTTGCCCTCCCCAGCCCTCCACCATTCTGCGAGATCCAGTTCCTTCTCCTTCATCTCCTGGTACATATCCAGCATGCTTAGGTCTCCTAAAGGGCTCCAGCATTGGTGCCCGGGCGCACCCACAGCAGCACTGACCCCCACTCCTCCTGGCTCGGAGCTGGTGGTGGCAGCGGCCTTAATAGGCTTGCACAGATGCTTCTGTGCGGGTCTCCACAAGACAAGGAAAGGTCTGAAATACAGCTGCACCATGCAAGGGTGCAAGGGTTTCCTCTGCTTCCCAGCAATGCTCAAGGGTTATACATGGTTCTCAACCAGCTGTGTCACTTATTTCTTTGCAGTGATCTCTACAATTATATTTAATAGCGTGATACCCCCTAGTCTGGATGCACCACACCTTGTTGCATTTTCCTATTATTGATAGGTATTCAGTCTCCGTCACATTTTTCGCTACAAGCAAGGAGGCTTTAGTAATCAACCTATGGCCTTTTTATTTCTGTGAGGCAGTTTCACAGTGTGGGATTATATGTATTTGAATGTTTATATGTATTTTAATATAAACAGTACACCTTTCTTCACACACATATCCCTTTCTGCACACCCACACCAGCAGTAGATGTTAGGACATTTTTCTTTTTGACTTTTGTTAGAATAAAAAAAAATGACCTCACTGTTACTTTAATTAGTACAGAAGGCTTTAGTCAAGTAGGGTTATGTTTGGATTTTTCCATTCAGAAATACCACTGACTAGTAGATAGGTAAGTGTTCTCCCCAGCAGTTAAGCGACTTTTTCAGTAGTCCAAGTACAAGGTAGAGTGGTGGTGAGAAATGGGTGGGTGCATGAAAATTCTGGGGTACACGATCACTAGAATTTACTGGATGTAGGGACTCGTGGGTGACTCCCAGATTTCAACATTAAACCAGTGAGGTGGCTAGTGATACTATTTAATGAAATAGAGAGCACGCTATAACAAGGATGAAAATGAGATAATTTAGAAGTGTTTTTTATTTTCTTGAACCATCTTAGTGAGGTCTTGCTGAGTATGTCGAGTGCATGTACACGCCTGATGTTCAGAGGAAGTTTGCAAACTAACGATAAACCAAAATTGGGGGCTACAGGTAGATGGCTCATAAAAGAAGCGTGAGAGTGAGGCCACTCAGGACGAAAGCTGAGCCCCCAGGAAGGGCCTCCAGCACAGGGCAGCCAGAGTAGCTGCTGGGAAGCTGAAGAATCTGGTGGGGGGATAGAGGCCTGGAAAAGAGCATCCAGGCACCAGCAGCATCTGCTGTGCTCGCCGGGAAGAAAGCTGGGCCCGACGCGTGCCAGGGCTTCAGGAAGCTCGGGTCTGTTTACCCTGAAGTGGCTCCATTTGTGATAAATACGCAACAGAACTGCCCCCTCAAGACCCTTTCTGGCGGAAGCCTTTCTGTCCTGGCTGCTTTCACAGCCACAAATAGTTTCTTGTTTAAAGAACTTTGAGTGAGGCCCTCCCTGGTGGCGCAGCGGGCTAAAGCGCAACACTGAGAAGCTAAAGCCACTTCAGCAGGAGTTCGATCCCCGCCTGCCCGGAGGTGACCACAGGGCGCGGCAGACCTCTCCTGACCCGCATGCTGCTCCCCTCAGCAGTGTACTTCATCATTCTGCCTGTTCTGCTTCCCACTCTGCCTCTGGTGAAGCCTCTCACCACCCCTGAAACTCTGGCCTGCACCCCAGTTCTGTATGTATACATAAATAAATCTTAAAAATAAAAATAAATTTTGAGTGAAAGTATCTAATGCACGTGCTTCACCAGTGATGGTTCTGATCCCCCAAGTTTAAGTTGTGTGGACATTTAAATATCATTTAAAAACATCTTTAAGGTTAGAAAACAATGAGAAATGTGACTTATTTTTTAGCCTGATTCTAGCAACCATCCTGAATCAAACCTTTCTGAGCGTGTCAGGGCTGGTGGCTGCTACTGTCAGCAGTGTGGAGCCTACTAGCCAGGTGACCCTTCACTAGCCAGGTGACCTTGAGCCGACCCCCCTCCCAGTCTGTTTCTTCTTCTCTAAAAGAGGAACCAGCACTCCCAACTTGAAGCTTACCGTGAGCAATGAATGAAACTGGCCGCTTGTCTCCTCATTCTATGGACCGTGCTAACCAAAACCTGCATTCTCACAGCACTTCATCTTAGGCTAAGGGGTTGAAAGCATCGCTGGCGAGCCCAGCACTCCGCAGGGTGGTGACTCGGGGTCTGCTGTCTTCCAGGCCTGAAGAGCCCATACGCTACGGCAACATCATGTACGACCGGAGGGTGGTCCGCGGGAACACGTACGCGCTGCAGATGGTGCTGCCGGTGAGTCCTCCGCAGACGGCCGTTTTCTGCCTAATCTGACGCGGAGCAAAGCATTTATAAAGTGAAGATGGATTGCCAGCAAAATGAGGGACGGGGGAGGCATGCAAAGCACCAGGCAGCGGGTGACGCCAGCAGGGGCGGGCTGGGCGGTTGTTATTGAGAGGGTACAGAGGGGCCTTTGGTGAGGTCCTCTGGAGGTGGACGGCGCCGTGGCCACGGGACAGTGTGCGTGGGCTTGAGCTGCTGAACTGCTCCTGGAGAGGCGTGGGACGCTGCGCTGTACGTTAGGAGCACGTCAGCAAAAACAGTCACAAAAACACAAGTTCCGGGGCGCTTATGGGATTCAATAGAACGGTGGCAGGCTGCTCCAGCCCTTCCCTCTCTCTCTCCGCTTAGATTATCACCGGCCAGTTCAGACAGCTGGCGAGAGCGTGAGGCGAGGCCCAGTCTGCGGGGCACTGGCCGGCCGGCTCAGCCGGGTCTCCGCTCTCTTCCCTGGCCGTAGGCCGAGGGCCGGAGCGTGCTCCTCCATGCACGTAGCTGCTGACTCTCAGGCCTGGGCCGGGATGGCGGGTCCCGCGACGAGCCCTGGTGACGCAGGGTGACAGTTCGCGGTCATCTGTGACACGCACCTAAGCCGCGTGGCAGTGTGGGGGTCTCGGGCCCGGGAGCAGGGGCCATCAAACCGCCTAGGAGACGCCGGCCCCACCCACCCCTCGCCCCTGTCAAGTGTGCTGGCGCCTCAGACTGGCCGAGGCCAGCTCCGGGCACAGCCCGCTCAGGCCGTGTGGGGCACCCAAGCCTGCGGGGCCCAGAGCCAACTGGCGCATGGTCTCCGGCAGCAGGGTGTTCCCCGCACCGAGAACAAACAGGGGAGACTCGCCTTTGTGTCGCCCTTTTTTTTTTGTTAATTATTAAAGATTTATTGTTTTATGCTTCCAGAACTGGGGTGCAGGCCAGAGATGTGGAGGGTGAGAGGCTTCACCAGGAACAGAGTGGGGAGCAGAACAGGCAGATCAATGAAGTACACTGCTGAGGGGAGCAGCGGGCGGGTCAGGAGAGGTCTGCCGCGCCCTGTGGGCCAGCTCCCTGGCCGGGGATCGAACTTGTGCTGCAGTGGCTTCGGAGGGTTTCATAATGCGGTGCTTTAACCCGTTGCGCCACCAGGGAGGGCCCTGTGTAGCCCTTTCTTAAGACATCAGTGTCGTGATGCCATGACATAGGCTCTTTTGGTCTTCAGTCAAGTGACATCTTACCAGTCTACGCTGCGATGTCCCGTTCCAGACACGCAGAGATGCCATTCCCTCCTCCTCCTCCTGCTGAAAACCACTGGACACGGCGTGACAGCCTAGGAAGACTCTGAGAGGCGGGAGACAGGGAGAGACCTGGCCGCCAGGCCCGGAGGAGGAGCGGGCGCTGGTCCCCACTCAGGACCGGGTGAGCCTGCACCCTGACACCCCCACAGGCACATCCTGAGAAGAGCCTGCCCCTCCACTTAGCAGTCGGGGTGAAGGAGGCCTGGAGCAGAGACCCCGAGGAGGTAGCCCCTCCCGGGAGCGCGACCTCTCCCCACTGGCAGCAGGGAGGCGTAGGAAGGGTCCTGTGCCTCACCCTCCGGCCAAGCAAGAAGCTGAACTCCGTCCTCGCCCGGCGCCAGGGAGGGGTAAGAGATGGGACAGCCGGTGCCCGACCTTTGAAATGGGTGCCCTGCTTTCCGGGGGCGGCATCAGCAGAGCCAGGAGGGAACTGAATTTTCCACCCTCTCTGGCAGCGACAAGGAGGAACACGAGGCGAGGAGGTCGGGCCCTCGGAGCACAGCTCCACGCCCCAGCCAGCAAGCGGGCAGCCCACGCCCCCGGCCCCTGGAGGTGGGACAGGCGCCCTGCCTTCACGGTACCGTGGGGAGCCCGCTGGACGTCCATCTCCACCCCTGCTGCACGCTGGGACTGAAGGGGTAGTTCCTGCTGCAGAGACGGCTTCAGGCCCGGAGTCTCACCACGCGATGGCCACTGGGGTGGCAGGCACGCCAGCAGCGACTGCAAGTGTCCCGCTCCAAAGCACGTGTGACCGTCCTTGGGACAGCGGAAAGCAGAAAACCTTAGCAAAGGAACGGGAATAGGAAAGTGGACGATGTTACACTGAAAAAATATATAATAAATAACCAAAGTTTAAAACTCAGGACGGCTCTGTGGCGATGACTCAGGAGCCGTCTGTGACTCAGACACAAACCAGTGCAAATGCCGGGGCCTCCGGCCCTGGACACAGAGTTGGAAACCGGAGCCTCAGGCTGCGAGGGCCAGCCACAGGATGGCTGCCACGCGGCCTCCACGTTCCCCAGCAGAGAGCAGCAAGTGACGTGTGAGGGCGCAAGGCGCAAAGGGCCGGGCGCCGGTGTCACCTGCAGAAACCCAAGGACGCCAGCCCAGACGCGCCACCGTCGAGCTCCAAAGGCAAACCAGAGAAGCACAGGGAGCCGGAGAGACAGAGGCTTCTCATCTGAGAGCACGCGCCCAGCGCAGCCACAGGAGGCCCCTGGGCCAGGGAAAGGCCCGTGGGGCCGATTCTAATCCAGGGAAAATGTCCTTGAGGAGCAAGAAGAGATCCAGGCACTCCGGGAGGACGGCAGAAAGGGGGGGGGGGGGGCTGCTCAGGCGGGGGGAGGCGCCGCGTTCCTGGCTGCAGAGAAAGGGCTCCTCTCGGGCTCGGGGCGTGTGGTGCCGGGGAGCCCGGCTGGAGCCGCGGGCATGTCACACTCAGCGCCTGCCCCCGGCCCCCTGCCACTGCCCCGCGAGGTCACGCTGCGGCCGAGGGCGGGAGACCCCTGGGAACAGAGGGCTTCTGCGGCCGGCCAAGGCCAGACAGCCGGGCAGCTGCGGCCTCCCCGAGGCCCACTCGGGCCTCACGTGGGCCAGTCCTTAGAGACACTTACCGCCTGGCCGAGTGCCGGGGATACCACACAGCCAGAAACTGGGGCATGTGCCAGATGGTTCTGTTTTGCTGCAAACTTAGCTCATGTGGAAGAGAAAGCCCGTGGCATGGCGGGCCAGGTCCCCACCTGTGAAGAGCCGCAGGCTAACAGCTTCGGGGAAGCTCTCCTGCCGGAGGTCGGGAAGGAGGGCCGCCAGCTTGGGACTCTGCGGCCGCAGCCACTCGCTCCGGGACAAGCCGAGCACCCACCCTCTGGTCTCCAGAGAAGTCGCCCACGGGTGCAGGCAGCTGACAAAGCAGTCAAGGTCGTCGCACGTGGGGACGTTGCAGCGTGGCCCCGGTGTCCACACAGAGATGGGGTTTCGTGTGCAGTGGCTGAGAAAATGCCCGGGCAGAATCCCATCCACTGCGGCATCTGTCTACACTAGCAGATGGCTGGGGAGCCCACCCCGTCCGCTCGCGAGGAGCCGGGCACGGGAGTTCCTCGGCGGGAAGTCTGCTCTCGAGCTCCAGAGAAAACCCACGGTGCTGGGAACGTGCCGACACTTTTACCCAAAGCTTGAACCGCCACCAGAGGAGAATTCAAGATGGACAAAGGGTGGAGAAAAGGACGCCCCTACACTGTGGGAAACAGTGTGGGTCTCTCAAAATGTCAAAAATAGGCTTAACATCAGAGCCAGTAACGCCACTCCTCACGTCTCCCTAACGCACGCAGAGCCGGTGTGAGGGGCTCGCTGCCCGCCGTGGTTCCAGGCAGCACTGTTTCAACAGCCAAGCTACGGAGCACCCCACGTGCCCACGGTCGGCTGAGCGATTTGCACATTTACCCGTGAGCTGTAGCCACGGTCAGTACTACTCAGCCTACAAATAAGAAACAGGAAGTCTTGCCGCACAGTCCGGTCGGCGACGCCTTTCTGTAAATGAACTCGTTGCATTTCTATAACCCCAAATCTTTCGAGAGTTGACATTTATGATCCTGGTCAAGTACGAATATGAAAAGAGATCAAGGATGATATTCATAAAAAATGGGGTCTATATACACAAAGAAAAGGGGGCTTCGTTGAACAGCCCTAAAAGCAAATTAGTAATTTTATCAGGAAAGTAATAGCCAGTCGGACGGCTTTCTCCGCTGTCATTTTGTTGCCATAAAAGGAGAGGAAAGAAGAGCCATTTACAACAGGGAGGAGTGGTCTTCTGTCCGGGCTGATGCTAGGCTCGTTGTGTTATCGTTGGTTTTGTTCCTTCCAACCGAAACCTGAGCCATTGTTAGCTTTCCCACTGTACGGATGAGGAAACTGAGTATCTGAAACTAGGTTATCGGTGTAAGCCTTCCTAACCCTCCCAACCCACAGATGGAGGAGTTGGAATTTGAGCTCAGAACCAACGCTTTTCTTTCCGCCTTGTCAGGTAAGAGTGTCTGGAGGGGAAAGCTTAGGAGAATGTTAAGTTAGCAAAGCCACACAAAATGTGGGATTCACCACTTTGGGAACGCTGCAATGCATTCAGGCAACGGTAACCACTGCATTAAGAATGTGGGATTACAGGTAATTTTCTTCATTAACAAGCTTTAATGTTATTACATTGCCATTTCAATATCACTGTTGAGAATGCCCATTTTATATATTGATTTTTTTTTCATGCAAAGTATTAACATCTCCCCTCCTTTCATGTTTACCTGGAGACCGACTATAAACAAGACGTAGCCAGGAGCTCTGACTGCCGGATGTGGCACAATCTCTCTGAGTCATATTTCTAGCCCTGAGCGACCTCTTGTTCTGTGTACTTGACTAACTGTTTGGCCTGAAGAGGTTTCCTTTGTGAGCTAATAAGGTCTTTTTTTTTTAATATCTATTTATATTATTGTTCATTTTAAAACAATGTTTACTTCCTCCATAGCCCCCCACCTGTTATCCCCACAGCCCCCCACGCTTCCAACCCCTCTCTGTCCCCCTCCCATGTAGGATATCTCAGATTTATAATTGTCGGTTTGTTTGCATCACGTTGCGTTGTATTTGTAATAACAATACACTCTCCCCCCCACCCATGTCCTTTTTGGTTCTCAATTCCTCCTATAAGTGAAACCATCTGATATTTTTCTTTTTCCTTCTGACTTATTTCACTGAGCATGACTCCTTCCAGCTCCATCCATGTTGCTGCAAAAGGCATGTGTTTACCTTTTTTATTGCTGAGTAATATTCCATTACATGCATGTACCACATCTTCTTGATCTAATATCTAGTTTTGGGCTTTTGGGTAGTGTCCAGGATTTACCTATTTTAAGTAGTGCTGTGATAAACATGTATCCTTTTGAATTAATGTTTTTGTGTCCTTTGGATAGATCCCTAGGAGTGAGATTGCTGGGTCATAAGGTAGCTGTGAGCTAATATTATCTTCTAAGGAAATTCTGGAAAAATGAAATTCAGATTAATAAAATGCTAATGTTTTTCAACTTCTTAGTGACACACTAAAATGTATTGATCAAATGGTCACCTCAGTTTTACTAGGTACCCGGGTTTTGTGGTAAGCATGCCTGAACGGGAAGACAGGTTACGAGGTGGGGTTCTGTTCAAGTGCTCCAGGCCACGGCCGTGCCCAGGTCCCTCATGGATCACTCTGGGATTGTCTGGCCAAGTGCAAATAAAATTTTCAGTCCCGGGGGATCAGGAAGTGCTTTCAGATGCTCCAGGAATCTCTCTGGGAATAGCAGTTCTGTGCGCTTTGAGAGTTCAGAGGCCTTTTCTTTCCCTCTCAGTCCGGGCGGCCTGACCCCATAGAAGCTTCGAAACTCCAGCAGGCTAAGAGGAAGACTCTTGCCAAAAAACGAGCCCGAGACCAGCTCAGACCGCGAACCCCAGAGCCTGTGGAAGGCAGGAAGCATGTGGATGTGCAGACAGGTACGTGGCCCGGCCATGGGCACTCAGCCACGGGCGCACTCGGTTTTCCAAGTCAGCTCATTTTTTTATGATCTTAGCTACTTGTGTCATTGGGGAAGTCTTCAGGGCCTGGTAGGAGAAATCCATTTAGTATCTATACTGTTATACTAGATATGGCTAGACTTGTGAGACAGAGTATGGGGAAAAGCTCTGCTACAGTTAAATTGATCTCTTTACCCCTTTTCACATAACCTGTCCTCAAACTGGGATCACGCTCCCCCACCCCTTTCCTTTTTACGGTCAAGCCTGGGTCACTGTTGGGCTTCGCAGACAGTGAGAACGCAGCGCTGCTCAGACATTCAGTGTCTCCCGAGGAGAGCGAGCCCCTCGGGTTAAGAGCGCACCCCCTCTCCCTCTGCGGCCTCTTGCTCCTGACACGGTGCTCACTCCCAGGGCCACAGGCTCTCCTAGGCCCGGCTCAGGCTTCTCCTGCCTGCCCAACGGTTCTTACCTGTAGACACCTACAGGGCCTGGCTGTTGTTGACAGACACGAGATAATCAGACACAACCTGATGCTTTCCTTGGGCCACCATCTCCCGAATCCCCTGGAGCCCGGCCAAGATGGCGCGTGGATTCAGCAGAGTTCCTTCTGGACAGCAGTGGGAGAGAACCAGCCTGTGTTTTTTCCCTAGCTTGAGGCCAAGACTGAAACGAGAAGATGTTTGTGTTTAGACAGCACAGTCGTGTTCTGAGTGCTACCTGCTAGTGTTTACTCACGCTCAGGCTAGTAGGTGACACCACAGCAGCTGCCTGTTGCTGCGTGTTGCCTGTATCTCAGAGACTCTGCCAGGCCCTTCCCCTGTGTTTCTCCTTTGTTATTACTAACAATCTGGGTAATGGAGAATCAGGTCCATTTTACAGATAAAGAAACTGAGGCCCAAAGAGGTCGCCACTTGCCTCGTTGAGCATTTGACTCCAGTGTTTCTTGCATGAGGCCACTGCCTTGCCTCACAGAAATTATTCCTAGGGTGTGCTATGTTTTCCCGTGCACATTTACAAAAGCCTGCATGGAAGGCCAGGCAACCTAGTGACACGGCACATCATTTTTTTAATAGCCAGGAATTTTCAAATCTTTATACGTTTCCTATGTTGGGCTTATTTACACAGAGGAGTGAGTAGCTCCTCCTCTCTGGTAGACCGTGTAGCTTGCGCACATCTGTGCTTTCCTGCCTCCCTCGGTCCCATTTTCACAAGCCACGCTCGGTGCTTCCCGGGCATCAGCCTGGCAGACTTAGTTTTCAGTCTCGAAAGGCGCTGAGCTCGCATGAGGAGCGGCCGCACCACGGGCTCTCTCACTCTAAGGCTTATTTCTGATCTGCTCACTCTGTGGAGGGGAGCTGGCGTTTCAGATGCTCGGCTATGCTTGCAACGGACCAGAATCTCAAACTCAATGTATATGATACTCTCTCAGAACTCTACCTCGAAGAAATTGCTGACCGCATCATAGAAGTGGACATGGAGTGCCAGACTGATGCATTTTTGGACAGACCACCCACACCGCTCTTTATTCCTGCCAAAACCGGCATGGATGTGGCCACCCAGATACTAGAAGGAGAGGTACAGTACACGACTGAACTGCCCTCTGTCTTCTCTCTAAAGAGGTAAAGCGAGCTAGGTAAAGGCTAATGTGGGCACGGAGCGTTCAGTCAGAAAGGGCCTCCTGACTGGATTGCTTTTCAAACTTGTCTATCATAATTTTGTCCCGGAGTACCGAAAGGGCCTTTCAATGTTTTCCCCTCCTTTTTTGCTAAGGAATGAAAATCACTAGAAATATTTGTAGGACATCTGCGTCTTACTTCACGGGTCTCCTTTGCCCTGCTTGCTTCGAATGTGGGGCTAGAAGGGAGGCTTGTACCAAATAAGGAAAAATGCTACCTCTGCTGTAAAAGATGTTACTGTTGACTGTCTATAGAGCTCATAACTTTCATGAAGATAATCTCTTTGTTAGAAACGATCCTAAAATAGTTACATTTTAGGATTATAACTTGAAAAGCATAAATAGCCCACTTTGTGGAATTAAAGGAGGCAAAGCTTATGTGTATACTGACTTAAAGGGGATTTAAGACTTGAGAACATGAAAGAACTATTGTTGAAATTGGAAAATAGATCTTCACAACCTGCGCTGACGGGTCTATTTGCCGCCATATCCCAGAGCTGAGCCGCCACAACAGCCATTGTTGTGTGGTGAGGCCTGCTCATCGAAAGCAGCTAGTAAAAATGAAGCCGGCGAGCAGACAGTAAGAAAGACGTGGGTTTCCCGCGGCTTCGGAGTTTGAGCTTAACAATTCTGAGGGCCAGGGTTCACGTTGATGACCACGTAGGTCTTTGCATGGCGTTGGCTCCATCACATTTTGCCTATGAAATCCTGAGGCTCCGTGTGCCTTGCCGGCTGCTGCGAGGATTTACTTGAGGACAAATAAAGCGCCAGCGGGGTGCCTGGCGCACAGGGACACTGGTAGGACCCTGTCGCTGCTTCTGGAGGCTTCATGCACCGTTGCTTCATGCGTCCGTTTTTGAGTTGCTCTGTTCTGTGTGTTTAAGCTCTTCGACTTTGACCTTGAAGTTAAGCCGATGCTGGAAGTTCTGGTGGGAAAGACCATCGAGCAGGCCCTCCTGGAGGTGATGGAGGAGGAGGAGCTGGCCAACCTGCAGGCCCGGCAGTATGCCTACGAAGAGCTGCGCAACCTGGAGCTGGCCGAAGTCCAGCGGCTCGAAGAGCAGGAGCGGCGGCACCGGGAGGAAAAAGTAGAGAATTCTGGTTTTTCTTGTGCAGACAGTATTTGGCTATTTCACAGACTATGCTCGGACTTACACACGCGACGGTAGACAAAGGTCTTCAGGAAGGGGTGAGGGAGGCAGGCTCGCTCCTCGCCGTAGGTCACAGCGTGCCCGTGGCCTAAGCCATGTTTCCCAAATTCTGACGTATGTAAATGAACCCAACCAGGGTCCTCACATTTTAAATGTATTTAAACGATACATTTCCCCACCGAAAGGGACTCTTTAAATATCAAGGGTCCCAGAGAGAGAAACACTCTGGCGTGAGGCAGTCGGCACCCGGAGCATGGAGGGGAAGGGCTGGACTGAGGAGGGCGGGGAAAGCCGCAGAGTCTGACTAGAACCCTCGGTCCTGGCCTTGCCAGTGACCAGAGCTTCTGAGGTGGCACCAGATCTGCTGGGCCTCCGGAGAACATTGTTTACATGGTAGGCCAGGAGGTTTGGGTTCTAAAATTTGATTAGTCTTCACAGTAGGCCAGTAGCTCTAGGAAGCGCTGGATTTGGGGGCCTTGCAGGCATCGGTAACTGTCGTCCGTGCTGTGCCGGGGACAGAGACCGAGAATGGCCCCAGGAGCCTGGCCACCCCCACAGGGCCACTCGGCCGTTAGGATGTTCTGCTCGATGTCCGATGGAGTGGGTTTCCGGCTTCCCTGCCAAGTGAGTGACTGTGTGAACAGCACAGGGTGTAGGGCCGAGATTATACAAAAAAAAAAAAAAAAAGATATTTACAAATAAAATGAACACTAGCAATTCAGTATTGTTGAAATAATCAGTGAAATCATTATCCAGAACATTTACTCACTGCTAGGAACTATATTACAAAACATAGAGTATAAATCACTCAGGTTTCTATGTGCTTAAACATGGAAAATAGACTTAGGGAGAAACTCTATCAACGTTCCCACACCCTCATGGGCGCAGGGAAGAGACACTTCCTAGCTTGGCGGGCTCTTCACGCTCACCAAGAAGCCACAAGAAAAGAGGTTTCATGATTTTCAGAACCATGTCAACTTTCAGGAGTTCCAGAGGCGTTACAGGAGGGCAGGCCATGGGCGCACGTGTTTTAGTTGAACACATCTAAGTACTGCGGCGTTCACAGCAGCTCTACTCCACACCGCCTCAGTAGGCCGCGCGCAGACGTCTCAGTAGAGCGCAGGCAGACGCCTCAGTAGAGCGCAGGCAGACGCCTCAGTAG